AATACTAAAATCTGTGGTAGAAAAAGGGTGTGAGTGTAACTGGGAATGCTCTCTTATTGCGAGAAGGATGGTTTGCTCAGCGGGAGGCCAGTCCTGAAAGACTTGCTTTATGTTCGGAGATGCGGTGACATAGCCATCGTGAGGTGGATCCCACGTACCTAGCTTGACAGCTAGGACAGGTAAATAAGTATACCACATTAGAACATAAGTCAGAGCTGTGATTAAAGGATGTTTTAAGAACTTAGCTATTGTGTTGTGTTACTAAAGACAAAGGTAAATTTAATCTGGGGGTAATTAGTTTGCAAGAGCGTTTTTAACCGTTTTCTGATTTCAAAGCTTAAATCACCCATGTAGGGTAGTTTAACATATCTATGGTCTCTTTTAACCTGGAGACAATTTGTTGATTGGTGAATTTCTTACACAGAAAGGTTTTAGTAATTTTATCACACAACTGTAATGGGTACCCATTAGTGATAAAAAAGTTTTTTCAGAAATAACAGTTCATTATGGAAGGCATTCCAGGTGCTACATAGATTGTAGGCTCTAGTTATAAGAGTTTTTCACACTATTGATTTGAAATATACGGGATGTAACTGAGAAAATGTAGGCCGAGGCCAGTGAAAGTGGGTTTACGGTAAATGCTAGTTTGGAAGATACCATTGTTGTTAGTGATCATAGTATCTAAAAATGGCAATTGGTTGTCCATTTGCAATTCACAGGTGAATTTGATGCTGGGGTTTGGCATTTAGGTAATCTAGAAAAAGATTAATGTGTGAAGGGTGCTTAAAGAGCAGGAAAGTGTCGTCGATGTACCGACGATAATGTAAGGGTTTGAATTCAGGCGGGCAGTTATCTAGCCAGCTTTTCTCATGGTGACATAGAAATGCATTAGCATAGGAGGGGCCAAAGGAGAGAGCCCATAGCTACGCCATCTGTTTGTGCATATAGGCAGTCGTTAAACGTAAAAACTGAATGATGGGCAGTGATTTCCAATAACTTTTTGAAGGTAATCGTATCCAAACCATATTTGTCAAGATAAGTATTGTCCAGGTTGTTTAGCTATCAACTCCGTGGTCTCTTGTAGAGGCACGTTTGTGAATAACGACTCGACATCAAAACTCGCCATAGTGACGGGTTGTTGGAAGTTCAGAGACGTGATTTCTTTAACAAAGGATGTGGAATTATCAATAGTATATTGATTGGATGTTAAAGGGAGATGATGGGAACAAAAAATTTGCGGTTTGTAATTGAAAGTGCCAATCGAGGAAATGATAGGCCTTAAGGGATATTAGTTTATGAACTTTGGGTAGTCCATAAAGAACACCAGGTCTGGATCCAGAAGTCATAAGAGAGTTGTAGGTGTTTATGTTAATGGATGTTTTGATATACGAAGAAGTCTATTTAGTTTGTCTTCTAATATAACAGATGGGTGGAAATTTTGTCGTGATTGTTTGAATTTTGTTTTGTCACTGAAAATCCATTAACTTTTGTTCATAATCACATTTGTTTAAAATAACAACTCCTCGTCCCTTGTCTGGTTTAGTAATTACAATGGTATTGTCATTCTTAAGGGTTTGAAGTGGTGACAGGAGAACATCGGAGTCAAAACCTAGTCTCCTCTGTTGAGATAATTTTCTAAAGGAGTTGTTGGCTATAGTTGTGATGTTGTTAGTAACATTGTTGAAGTTGTTGTTGTAGATGTCACAATTCTTTAAGGAAGCACAAAGCTTTTCAAAGTACAGGTAAAATCTGTGAAATACAAACTTAGTTTGGGGTATACAATAGTCCAGACCATAAGATAGTACATCCTTTTGTTCGTCAGTTAAAATTTTGTCAGAGAAATTAAATATTACTTTATTTTTGTCTACTTTCTTGTTTATATCAATACCTAATTTTAATAGTTTCTTGCTATGAACTGTATCCACTTTACGTATTTTCTTTTCCACGTTTCCATTAATTAACCTTGACACACAAATAAAATCAAGAGGAGATAGTGTGGATTTTAGTAAAGTTAAATTCTTGTTAAGATCCTTAATGACAGATGTCTCTTTTTTTTTTCAACTGACTAGTAATTTCACGGTTAAGGAGTTGAAAACACCAAGAACGATATATTTCAGTACGTTCAAACATTGGGTTGTGAACTCGGAAGTTAACAAAGTTTGGGGTAACATGATAGTTTTACAAAGTCTTAGAAACCGGATGTCCTTCTGCAGCTTCTTTGAACGGAAGGAGAGTTTCTCGGTCCTTCTGAAGATGTTGAGTGTCGTCCTGCCATATTTGTTCCTTATATATTCCGTAATGGGTTTGCCAGTAATACTTATCTTGACAAATACTTATCTTGACAAATATGGTTTGGATACGATTACCTTCAAAAAGTTATTGGAAATCACTGCCCATCATTCAGTTTTTACGTTTAACGACTGCCTATATGCACAAACAGATGGCGTAGCTATGGGCTCTCCACTTGGCCCCTCCTATGCTAATGCATTTCTATGTCACC